TTTGCTGTAACAGTGTGTTGTTGCCTTCCTTCTGTAGTCCCGGTGGCACTACCTTGTCCACTCTGGATGAGGTTAAGACCTATCTGTTGACTGATGGCACCTGCAAGTGTGGCTTGGAGTGTCCACTCATCATCCATAAGGTAGACCAGGCTAAATGTTTTAAGTTTGTGTTGTGTGTTTGTGTATTTGGCAGTACACACAAAAATACATCTACACATTGTCCAATATTTTCTTTGGCCTTAGTATTTTTAAATTTAATCATCTTGCTTATATTAAAACACTACTACTGTCATATTCACCATTGACAAATGATAGATACTTCAATGTGCACTGGTCCACATACATGTATTTCAACAACATGGTGATCTCCTTTTAAAGTCTTCAGACTCACTTGATCTGTGTGGTGAAGTACTTTTATTAATAGCCATTTGTTTTGACATGATAAGCAGTGATCCTTGTATGAGTATACAGAAAAGTAAAGAATACTTCCTTAATTAAATATTATGCAAAGAGTTTTCTCTGAATTATGTCTAATACATTTTTTTTTTTTTTTTTTTTAACCTGATGTCCTGCAGCTTTTCAACTTCACGGTGGGAGTGAAGGTGGAACAGCACAGCCACCCATTAGGCAAAGCAGAGCAGGACATGACCAAACTTTGTAACCACCGAAGGAAAGTGGTGGCTATGGCTGCACTGTGTCGGAGTATGCAGGCCTCACAGCTGCCGTTCAGCAATCTTCATCATCCAGGTAAATTTTGAAGCATTGCGACACACTACAGATTAAACATGCTACTTATGTACCTGTGTGAAAACATACACCATCTAATAAAACCATAAATCTGTTGAAACAACTTCTCTCCACAAATTTATACATATTTACTAAACAGATTAGACAGACTGTAATAAACTCTGTGCCTTTTTCCACAGAACCTTTTGACATTGTGATTGAGTGTGTTGTGTGCAAACTAGTAAGGGCCACAATGGGACTATGATCTTGCAGCTCCCACACAATACAGATTTGCTTTAATGTGTGTGTAGGGGCGGCTGGTACATATCATCATCATCATCATCATCATCATCATTATGAAATTCCATTTATGAGCATTTGAGAGACTGTTAGTATTGGACTTAACCATGCATCTGTTTTCCAGTAAATCATTTGCCTCCAAATGAGTTTCTTCTACATGTTCATGCCCACTCTCTTGTTCATCTCTCTCTCTCTCTCTCTCTCTCTCTCTCTCTCTCTCTCTCTCACTGTTCTATTTAGAAAGTTTGATAAGAATATAGTTATACATTTCATTAAGCAAACTGACACCCCTTAAGTTTGGTGTGTAAACTGTGTAAACAGTAGACTGTGATTCTAGGATTCCCACTATTTTTTGGGATTTATGTTTTGTTTTGTTTTTTTGTTTTTTTATTTAAATTGCATTATTATCATTGTAATTGTTAGGCAATATGAAATGATACAGTGAAATTAAAATCTCATACACCATACTGAAATGCACTGAGGAGGAGATCACAGTAGCTTTGAAAATAGCTGAGTGCTGCTGCTGTGTATCTAAGGCTCGGCCTCAGTCAAACAGACACACAGATCTGATACTGGATAAACTTTCAGCACTTAAGTACACTAGAGATATGTTTGGGGGAAAAAAAGGAATGCTATGAAAGGGTACAGAGCCATACGATGTGGCATTGTTCAAAGAGCTCATCTCCATGACTCTCGTATAGTAATGTTACTACACCAGTAGCAGTAGTGTGTGCTGTGCTCCTTTAACTCGAGCAAGCTTTCTGTGTGTTTGGTAGGTGTACATTGTCCGTTCTTAAAAAAACTGCCATGCGATTGGTTAGAATCGCCTTCTTTACTGTGATTTGATAGGCTGATGTTTGTTGTCAAGCAATGTCCCTTATTGACGGTTTATTGAAGTTTGTCATTTTCATGTTTAAATTTTATATTGCCAGATGTGTTTGTCATTTATATTTCTCGGCCCTATTTGATTGTTTTGTCCTTTTTGTAACCTTTTCTCTTCATCCTCTTCTCTGTAATGTGCATTCACTTAATGCAGTTCTAGCATAATGCACATATAGTATTAGGAAAATAACAAGTGCATCTTCAGTTTTATATCTGGGTTTAGAAATAGTATAAAATAATTTGAGTGAGTAAAACTATTTTGATTCAAAAAATGTCAAAACTGTGTTTTAGGACAGGATTGTTAAAGAGCACTCTACTACAGTTTTTTACATCTGACAAATATATGACAAATGATAACAGCCCTAATGACCAAAATGCCTCATCCCTCTGCTTCTGCGGAAGGTGTTAAGAGAAACATCTAGTTTTCTAAACCTAAAAGCTATCCATCCATCCATTTTCCTCCGCTTATCCGGGACCGGGTCGCGGGGGCAGCAGTCTAAGCAAAGATGCCCAGACTTCCCTCTCCAGACACTTCCTCCAGCTCCTCCAGGGGAATGCTGAGGTGTTCCCAGGCCAGCTGAGAGACATAGTCCCTCCAGAATGTCCTGGGTCTTCCCAGGGGCCTCCTCCCCGTGGGACATGCCTGGAACACCTCCCTAGGAAGGCGCCCAGGAGGCATCTGAAACAGATGCCCAAGCCACATCAGCTGGCTCCTCTCGATGTGGAGGAGCAGCGGTTCTACTCTGAGCTCCTCCCGGGTGACCGAGCTCCTCACCCT